ATACTCTAACACCTACGAGGAAATCTCTGGTAAATAAATCTCTTTCCATGTTTGGGACAGTCTTTTCTTTTTTTTTTTTTTTTTTTTCCCTACTGCTCTCGCTCTGGGATTCCCTGAATGAAAGCAGACAGAGGGAGGAGAGGGTCCCAGGGTTCTGTACTCCTCTTGGCTTATCTTTTCTGTGCAGCAGGCAGGCGCCCAAGAGGTTGGCCTAACCTCCTGGCAGGGAGAACCCAGAGGCCACACAGGCTCCTTTCAACACACCCTTCCCCGCTACCCCACTCCCATCTCCCACTTCTCCGTCTCACACCCCACACCCCAGTTCTTCCAAGTCTTGTCTGTACTGGAGGGTTCTCTCTCTGGCTCCCAGACCCATGCTGGGTAAGTTGAAGGTATACCTGAGCCCAGGCATTCAGCCTGCCTGCTCACCCAGCTCTAGTCCCAAGCTCGGGGTTCCTGCCTGACCCACTTTTTCTGCCACATGACCCAGCCATGGGAGTTGAGGCTTTAGTGGTCTTCACTGAACTCTTTATTCCCACTGCTGGCTTCCTTCTGTGCTTAGCTACCTTGAGAGCAGGACCTCTGCCAGGCCCTAGGGAGCCTTTTTGCAAATTAGGAAAAAGAACACTTCATTTAGGTGTGTTTAGCTCAGCAGGCACAGGACATGGTGAACAGTGTGGCCTGGATTTCTGACCATATGTGTTTCCTTGGCTAAATGTCTTTGTGCAGTGTACAACCTGTTTAGTTGTACATGAAAGCTTTTAATGAGATGGAATGGGAAAAGAGGGGAACCAGGAAAGATCCTTCTAGGCCCAGATCAATCAGACACTGAGAGGTAGAAGGCAAATCAGACGGGACTAAATGCTTGAATGCTTGATCACTTGATGCAGGTGATGTGTTCAATCTTTGTTCTGAGAAGGGGTCTGTGAGGCTAGGATCAGTCAGGGAGTCTTCCTGGAGGTGGACACATGACTAGGGCCTTGGAGGATAGGCATTGTCTGGATGAGCAGGAATAGCTGTTCAGACCAAGCCGGCACACTGTGTCTTTCAAGAGCCTCCAATCTGTAGCCCTATAGTTCCAGATCATGGCATAGAGCTGGCATATCACAGGGGACTGGGGATCCAGACTGACTCTTAGAAGCAGAACTGGGCAGGCTGGTGAGGCCTCTTCTGTGGGGACAACCTCAAGCTACCCCTGGACTATCCCTCATTTGTTCCACAGGGTGGAGCCCCCCTGCCAACCCAGTGCACCACCTGCCCTGCACCATGCCTGCCTGGCCTCCTTGTCAGTAAGTCCAGCCTGCCTTGCCACCTGCTGCCAGCCCAGACAGAGGGACTCATGTTCCTATCTGGGCTAGTGCTGAGGACCTGGTACCCCTAGGAAAGAATATCTTGGTGTTCTCCGCACATGCTGCCCAAATCAGAGGTGCTAGCCAATCCCACACTCTGTGACCTTTCGGTCAATCCCCAGGATTCTACCCAAGCATGTACTATTGGGTGAGGGGCATTCTGAGGTGGGTGGAGACAGTCATGAGACTCAGACCTCTGAGAGGCCTGGCACCCTAAGCCCTCTTTTTTACTCTCCCTCCAGCTCCTCGTGTTGCTGCTGCTGGCCTTACTAGTGAGGCGTCGCAGGCTCTGGCCAGGCTGTGGTCACCATAGGCCTGGACTGCCCAGGTTGGTGCTGGGCCCTGAGAAGCTCTACTTGAGGCCCAGCTGACAAGGCTACTCTGGGAGGGTGGGTGACTTGTTAGATGCCTTAAAGCCAGCTCTAACTTCAGGGATATGTTACCTCTCTCAGTCTAGAGCCCTTCCCACCCAGGTCTCCTGGCTTAGGCAGGTATGGCAGAGGTGGGAGGGGCTGCTTGGTCCACTTGCTCAGGTGTCCAGGATATGAGAGCGAAGGAACTCCATGGAAACCCAGGTTCTTGTAGGCAGTCCTTAGTATTGGACTGGTCATCACCCCCTGTGCTGTCTCAGCCACTTCCCCTAACAGCATTCCCAATCCTGATTTATGAGGGACTGACCTCTAGCCCCTATGGCTGGAACTTTCTCTTCCTGTCTCTGGCTTTATAACTCCAGACAGTGGAGCGGGTGTCATCCTGAGGACACAGGATTGGGCCAGCTGGAGAAGCAAAGTTTGGGAGAGGTGGCAGGTACAAGTCCCAGGTGACTGAGGACTCCTGTGCTGCTTTCTTGGGATCATCCTGAGGTTCTGACTGGTGCAGGGAGGAGCCTGCTCTGCCGGGCAACAGAATGAAGTGGGAAGGGGCTCTTGGAGCACCAGAACAAGCTGGAATAGAGCAGCAGAGGGGGCCAAATAGCAAAGTCCCAAGCTTGGGACTGCTGTGCCCGATGTCTGCCCTCTGCCCTGGGCCACGCCCAGCCCAGGGCGGTGGCCGTTGCACAAGGATGTTATGACTTGCTGTGCTCTCTGAAGGTTTGCCAGTCCAGACAGACAGATCTTTTCACATGGAGGCGGCTATTTCCTGGAGCTCCCTTGGTGGGCAGAGGGAGCAACCAAGGGCTTGTTCCCACCCGCCCTGACCCTTTGCCCCAGGGCCCAGAGCAGGGCTGGTGTGAAACCCTCTGCAAACAGGCAGGGGATGAATGACTACTGAAGAGGCCTCATTCTCCCCTCTGGGCCGTGGAAGGAGCATACTGTGGAGGGACTAGGCACTTCCCCTGAATTCTATCTGTTTATGGCAGCCCTGTGGATTTCTTGACTGGGGATCGACCCTGGGCAGTGCCCACTGCTGTCTTCATGGTTCTCTTCAGCTCCTTATGCCTGTTGCTCCCTGAAAAGGACCCGCTGCCTTTCCTGAGCTTTACCTCAGCATCCAGCCCAGGTATTGGTACAAGGAGATCCAGGGGCTTGTCCAATGGGACTGGGCAGGGTGGAGTCCTGGAATAGTAAGCTTGGCTGGGGGAAGTGATGGTAACAGGAACAGCTGTCAGTAGGGGGCATGCTGCCCGCAGAATGACCTCTTTAGATCAGCAGTCTCTACAAAGGGTGGAGTATATATTAATAGTGCTAGTTTACAGTTGGGGGAACTAAGGGTCAGAGAAGAAAGCAAACTTAGTTTATTGAGTGCTTACTTAGGTACTGTGCTAAGCACTTCTCATTTTGCCCCTGCTAACATACTATGATTCTTTCCATTTTACAGATAGGGAAATGGAGACATCAAGGGGTAACTTGGCTGAGATCACAGAGCTGGTGTTTGAACCCAGGGATCTTGCCCACTGAAGCAGCTGAGGGGCTCGGCAGATGGAGACAGGAGAGGGGCCTGGTTGGGGTCAACCCAGGCTCTGTGTCTGTCTGTCCATAGTGTCTCTCTCTTGTTTTACCTTCCAGGACCCTGGAAGTTACTGGCCTTGCTCTACTACCCTGCCCTCTACTACCCTCTGGCTGCTTGTGCTACGGCAGGGCACCAAGCTGCATACTTGCTGGGCACCGTGCTATCTTGGACTCACTTTGGCATTCAGGTCTGGCAGAGGGCAGAGTGTCTCCAGGACCCCAAGGTAACCCTGACTCACAGTGGCCCAGGGCAGAGGGGTGCACTTGCCTGGTTCTTTTCATTTCTGTTCACACTCTGAGCTTCCCTGCTTTCTTCTACTATTTGTGGGATCTCATGTCTTTAAACCTGTGCCTTTGCCAAACTTGGCTGCTCTGCAGATGAGGCCTGAGGCAGGCATCTGGACCTTGCCCTCAGCAGCTTCCAGCCTAGGGGGGCAGAGTGGAGGACAGCAAAGCCTATAGTCCCCTTCTCTGATTTCCCAGCCTTCCTTTGGGCAGGAAGAACAGATGGAGTAAAGTGCTGAGTGGGGGAATAGTCTGAGGGTTGAAGGAGAATTTGAGACCCTTAGAACCAGCTTCACTGGCTACTGGCTGAGACTGTGAAGCTTCACAGTTTAGACCCAAAGAGCAGTGGGATATTGACTTTGGAGTCAGACAATCGTAGTTAAAATCCTGCTTTACCACTTCATTCATTCACTCACTGCTTAGTTCATTCATTCATTCATTCAGAATCCTGCTTTACCACTTTATTCATTCAAGAAACATTTTCAAGCCCTGGAATATACCTGTGAACAAGATAAAAAAAAAAAAGTCTCTGGCCTCCTAAGAGCTCTCATTTCAGGAGAAGCACAATAAAAAAGCAAGGTGATGCCAGGTGGCATTAAGTGCTCTGAGGAAACAGTATCACCTGTCTGAACCTCAGTTTCCCCACCTGTCAATGGAATTGGTAGCACAACCCTCCAAGGGTAGGTGAAGATTTGGAAGTTTCTTTGAAGTCAAGCATGATGGAGCCCACCTGTAATCTCAGCACATGGGAGACTGAATCAAGGGGATCATGAGTTTGAGGCAACTTTAGGCTATGTAGCTAGACCCTGTCTCAAAACAGAAAACAAACAAAACACCCAAATACAAAAAACTTAGAAAATTCTTTGAGAGGTGCCTTGGATTTTGTTTGCCACTTAGAACTTGATACACACTAAGTTCTCAGGAAAAACGCATGGAGTTGAGTAGCAAATGAATGAATTCAGAAAGTGCCAACCCAGGAAGGCTTGACCTGGGATGTGGGGTACATCCTTCTCTGATGCCAAGGCAGTAAACTGTGCTGAAATTAGGCTTTTGTCCAGTTTTCAGTGGCATGTATCCTAACGTGCTTAGAAGCATAGAAAACTAGAAAGTTGGTGTCTGGTTTCAGGCCTCATTGAGCCCCTGGGAGTCTAGGAGAAGATTGTGCCATCTTCTTTTGGTTCTGCCTAGGCCCTTAGGGGCCTGGGAGAGGGGTGAGGACACAAGACCAGGAGGTGGGTATGTTCCTGAAGGGTAGCCTGGGGGCCTAAAACCAGGCAGCTTCCCATGGCACCTGGGCCATCCCCAGGGCACTGTGTGAGGTAGAAAGGGCAGTAGATTCTGGAAAGGAGGTAGGCCTGATTGAGTGTCTGTCTGTCTAGATCTACAAGTACTACTCCGTGCTGGCCTCCCTGCCCCTGCTCCTGGGCCTTGGATTCCTGAGTCTTTGGTACCCGGTGCAGCTGGTACAGAGCATCCGTCATCAGACAGGAGCAGCCTCCAAGATAAAGGTGTGGACCAGAATTGCTCAGACACTGGCCTCTGTGTTTCTGCAGCCCCTGTCCATAGCTGTGCTTGGTGTAGGGTCTAGCACACAATATATACCCTGAAAAAAATTTAATATATTTAATTTTTGAAACTTCAATACTTCTTCTGTTTGTTGCTTGTTTTAGACAGGGTCTCCCTGTAGCCCCAGCTAGCCTGGAACTTGCTACGTAGACTAGACTGGCTTCAATCACACAGAGATCTGCCTGCCTCTGCCTCCCAAGTACTGGCATTGAAGATGTATGCCACCACACCCAGCTACCACTTCTTTTTTAATATATAATTTACAATTTTTATATGAGTATTTTGACTACAGAGTATATAGTATGAGTATTTTGACTACATGTATGTAAGTGCACTTGTGTTGTGCAATGCCCATGAAGGCCAGAAGAAGGTGCTAGATCTCCTGGAACTGAAGTTGCATACTGTTCTTAGCAGCCATGTGGGTGCTGAGAACAGAACCCAGGTTCTTTTCAAGAGCAGCCAGTGCTCTTAGCTGTTGAGTCATCTCTCCAGCTCCATCTTAACATTAAAAAAAAATTACATTTAGCTATTTATTTACAGCTGTGTGTGTGTGTGTGTGTGTTTGTGTATGTGTGTGTGCACATGTATGCCATGGCACTCCTGGAGGTCAGAGGACAACTTGTGGGAGATACTTCTCCTTTCATCATGTGGGTCCTGGGAATTAAAATCAGTTCTTGAGACTTAGTGGCAAGGGCCTTTACCCACTAAGCCATCTTGACAGTCCTAGAAAACATTTTTTTTCAGGGTGACTATTTTGTGTCATCCTCCATCCCCAGAGACTGGACCAGACCCCTGAGTTTCCCACAGGGTACCCAGGGCACTGTGCTGTGTGCACAGTGGGGATTCAGCAAAGCAGAACTAGATCCAGGGACTTAAGCTCCATCTTTGAAACCCTTACAGCTGTAGCAATGAGTTAGCCCAGAGCCCCGGGATGCCATAGAGTTCTGTAGATGTTGGGCTGGTCCAGGAAGCTCATCTTGAACTGACCCAAGGAGGGTTGCTGCTGGATGATATTAGATGGGGGGACCTGGTGGAAGGGGCTTCCTGGAAAAGGCAGGCTTCAATGGGGGCCTAAAGGACAGGAGGAGATGGAGCCTGAGAAGTAAAGAACAGGCAGGTACAGGAAAGAGTGGGGGCAAAGGGTAGGGGAGAGAGGTTGTGATGTTCAAGTCTATGCTTGTGCCCAGGGCAGGCCAGAGCACATCAGAGATACTCAACAAGGCTGGGGTTGTTGCTCCATTGGTAGAGTGCTTGCCCATCATGTATAACACATTAGATTCAATCCCCAGCACCAAATAAACTGGGTATGGTAGAATATCTCACTCCCAACACTTGAGAGGTAGATGCAAGAGGATTAGAAGTTCAAGGCTAGCCTACGATAACATGAAACATTGTCTCAAAAATAAAACGAATATCCCAGCACTTGGGAGGCAGAGGCAGGTGGATCTCTGTGAGTTCAAGGCCAGCCTAGTCTACATAGTGAGTTCCAGGATAGCTGGGGCTACAGGGAGACCCTGTCTCAAAAAGACCAAAAAGATAAAAAAAATTTAAAAAAGTAAATAAAATGAAATAATAAAATAAGATACTTAGCAAGTATTGCTGAATTGTTTGGAGGAATGGATGATAGATGGATACATCATGGCAAGACAGCATTTAGCAGCCTTTTAAGTCCTTCCCACATGTCAGGCCTTGGCTGGGTGCTGGAGCCTCAGAGCCCACTGACCTGACTTCCTGCAGAAACTGCCTTGTGGCTGGGAGAAGAGGGCCACAGCAAACCCAGACAGTGCCCCATGGAGCCTGCGGCTGTGGGCATATATGTTTAAGGGGTCACGATACCTCCTGGGAGTGGGAAAGACAAGAAACATGCCCCAGGGCCCCAGGGAAGAGACTGAGGGCCCAGGTGTGGCAGGTGAGGCACAGGCTGAAGGGGAAGAGCAAGCAGGGAAGAGGTAGATGGGGTGCCAGCTGCTGATTTAGGACATGTGACTGAGGAGCTAGGTCCCCTGGGGTGATATTCTTTTTAAGTCACAGCTCAGCAGAGGGGCCTCTCTAGTGAGATAGAAGCCAGAGGCCAGACACTGAGCCAAGGAGGGGTGGAGGGGGAGGGGAGGGGAGGCCTGTGGGCTCAGTTCCAGGGCCTTTCTGGTCCCAGAAGTTTCCTGGTTGCTGATCTATACACAGCAGGGTTGTAAGTGCTTGCTGCTTTTGCCCAGCTCATGCTCACATTCCCAAGAAACTCATTCCCTCCCTAAGTTCACAGCTGACTGGGAAGAAGGAAGCATCCGTCCTCCTCCACAGTGGCCCAGAGGCATGTGCCTGGAGACTCCAACTCCCAGGCCTTCCTCTTTCTTATCTCTCTTTCCATGGCAAGCCTGGCCTCTAAGTCTTCAAAAAAGTAAAATCGTTTTTGGGCTTTAGTCAGAGAGATTTAAGCCACAAGGACCCAGTCAAACTTTGAGCTGGCCCACTCTTACTCTGGGTCCCCAAGTTGCCATGGCAACAGGTGACCATTGCCTATGCTCTCCCATGCATTCAAGGATAGAGGCTCACCCCACCTTCCCATGGGTCTCTGCCACTATGCAGGCAGCTTAAGCCTAGAATGTGGCTTAGTTAAATCCTTTTACCCTGTGAGCTCCCTGCAGTGAGTAGTAGCCAAGGGAGAAACCTGGGGGATGTGCCCTACCTAGACTGGCTAGACTGGCACCATCCTGTGTCCTGGCAGCAAATGTGCCTATAAGACCCAGGCTCCTCTGGGTTCCAGTCCTAGTTAGAAGAGGCCAGAGAGCCAGGAGGGAAGCAGCGATGAGATCTGAGTCAAGCAGGGATCTTTTGAAGAACTTAACAGTGTTGCCGTCTCTTTGACAGGCCATTGACTGGTCTTTATTTGTAGGGAAGGTAGTTTTCCAGGGTGTGGACCTTGTCCCCATAGGTCATAAGTTAGCCTCCTCACACTCTACCACACTGTCCTACTCAGGAGGTTTTACAGAAATTGCTTGGTGTCCATTCAGTGTCCCCAACCAGGGCCCCAGGAGGCTGGTGGCAGGTGTCATGGACTCCAACATTTGTCTTTACAGGGGCTGAAGACCAGCTACTCTGAGGAGTATCTGAGGAACCTCCTCTGTGGGAAGAGGCCGGACAGTCGGTAAGGTCTAGGCACACCTCAGCAGGGGGGAGGTTGGGGCTGTGTGTGTGATGGTGCAGGAGCCTGGGGTTGGGTGAGTAGTGCATAGGAGGCTGGACTAGGAAAAATGAGGGGTGACTTTACTTGGATGTAGCTTTGGGGAAGGGCCTCTCCTGAGACTCCACCCACCTGGATCTGTCTGCAGCACCTGCCCTGACTCCAAGCATGGCCTTCTGTCCAGGGCCTGGGCCCGCTTCCAACACTTCATCTACACTCCACAGCCAGGTACGTGGTCCTATGGAGGCTAAGGCCCACACTTTTGTCTAGAGAAGCTTCTGGGAAGAGCCTGCTCCTTCCCCAGAACCCTCACCATTGGCAGGGACCACTGCCAGCCCTGGACAAGGAATGCCCCGGCCTGGTCTGGAGGTCCAGAATCCAGGGTGCCCTGGGAGCAATGCGGCTGGAGACTGGGTGGCACCTTTCTCCACATGCCTTCTTCTGGAAACCACAGGATTCCGTCTGCCCTTGAAGTTGGTGATTTCAGCCACCCTGACAGGAACAGCTACTTACCAGGTGTGTCTGGCAGCCTTCCGTGTCCTCTGCCCCTGAACCCCTGCCCTCAGCCCCCAAGTCCAAGACAGCTCAGCCTCTCTAGATGCACCCCCCTCACCCTATCAGCTGCTTGGGATCTTTTGTGAATACTAACCCACCCAGTGGAAGGGATACTGGCCTCTAGTGGGCTCATAGAGTGACTTACAAGTTTCAAAGTCACAAAACATGGATTTAAATTCTGCCTCCATTGTTTACGTCCTAAGTAAACTTGGCTAAGTTATTCTACCTTTCTGAACCTATTAGCTCATCTGCAAAATAGAAGAAATAAAATAATTTTTCTATGTAGATAGTTGGGAGGATTTGGTGAGTTTCCATGTTTCATAATTACTATTACTTTCAACATTATCCTCAAAAACAAACAAATATAAAACCAAGGGCTGGGAATGAAGTCCAGTTGGTAGCATACCCGCCTAGCATACATGAAACCCTAGGCTTCATCCCCACATGGTGCATAGATCTACATGTGCCTGTAATCCCAGCCAGCTTTTCTCTCCATTTTACAACTGGATAAATTGAGACTCAGAAAATTTGACTTGGCCAAGTTCCTATAGCTAATATCATAGGACAGACAAAATTTAAATCTAGGTCTGTCTAGCTTTAATGTTCATTTGCTTTCTCCAACATGGAAGAGTTGGAATTTTTTCAATATTTTTCCTCTCTCCATGTATGTTTGTGCATCTCTGCAGGTTCCTGTGTGTATAAGTACATGTGTGTGGAGGTCAGAGGTCGACCTTGGGTGCCATTCCTTAGTTATCATCCACCTTATCTTTTGAGGCAGGATCTCTCACTGGCCTGGAACTCACCAAGCAGGCTAGGCTGTCTGGCCAGCGAGCCTCAGGGACTCACCTTCCAATGTTGGGATTACAAACACAGGCCACTATCCCTGGTTTTTCACACCAGTCCTGAGAGATTGGATTAGGTACTCATGCCTGTGCAGCAGGTCCTTTCCTGACTGAACTATCATCCCAGCACAAAAGTTGGAACTCTTTATATTTTGAAGTTTAGATAGATATGTAGATAGGTAGACGGATGATAGACTCATGATAGACTGATTGATGATAAATAGATGATAGATGACAGGTAGACGGTGGATAGATACTTGATAGATGATACATAGATAGATGCTAGGCAGATAAAGCTGTAACTATGCAGTTGTGCTATGTGAAGCCTTATCTTTTAGCTGAGCTAAAGTTACATCTATGTTTGCATGTGGGAGTCTTGTTCTCAGGGGCATTTAGAATACCCTGGCAGGTGATGGGCATATGGCTGCAGCTGACTGGCACATTGCCAGGTCACTTGGACATCTCCCCTGCTAGACTAGGAAATGCTTCTTCAGGGTGGCAGGTCCTGGCATGCACACAGCTGGTCCCTGGAATCCTCACACTGGGACTTTTCCAGGTGGCCCTGCTGCTGCTGGTGACTGTGGTACCCACTGTGCAGAAGGTGAGGGCAGGGATCAACACGGATGTCTCCTACCTGCTGGCCGGCTTTGGGATCGTGCTCTCTGAGGACAGGCAGGAAGTAGTGGAGCTGGTGAAGCACCATCTATGGACAGTGGAAGGTGAGGTTACTGGGCATCCCTGATAGCCACAGTGAGGACGGGAGATAGGCTACTGGAACTGTCTGTGGCCTGTCACATATGCATGGGATGCCCTTGGGTATGCGCTTTTCTGCTTTGGGCCTTCACTGCTTCATCTCTGAGTGGGGGCAGCTGGAGCTTCCGGTTCCACATTTCAGAGCTGGAAGGACTGCACCTCTGCAGCCCCTGATTTTTGTTAACTTCTAGATATCTTCCTCTCCCCCAGCCCCAATGTCTTTGACCAGCTCTTTAGCTGTAGTGGCAAAAAAGCAAGGAGCAGGCAGTTTACATGATGGTGGCTGGGTTTTATGGGTAATCCTCATGCCATGAGTTGTGGCCTGGCAGCATACCTGCTTTCTCTCCCCAGTCCCTCTTTACCTGGCTCATTTCCCCTTTCCTGTCTCTCATGAAAAGCGCCTCAAGCTGTGGAACAACACCATCAGCCCCTCCCCACCTTCCCCAGCATTCCTGTGGGGGAGATTGAGCAGTGCCCTCACATGACATGTGGGGAGGGACTGGCCTCAGTTTGTAAAGCAGGGCACAGTGGAATGTAGGTCTCCTGAAGTTCAGACTGGGGTTCCCTCTACCACCTTGACACAAAGTCTGATGGTCAGGACTCATGGGACCTGCACTCTTGGCCCATTTGAGGTCCCCTTGTTGATATGGAAACCCTGGCTTCTGGGGAAAAACACTTAGGCTACAACCATTGCAGATGGAGGTATGGATGCTTTGCATATTTTCCTGACCCTTAACACCATCCTCATCCCACAGATCATGGAATGGCAGCAGTGTAGGGTAGAGAGGGGGATGTGTTCAGAAGTGTGGGCTGTGTCAAGCCCTCACTGACCAATCACTTTAATTAATTTTTTATGAGTATGAGTGTTTTGCCTGTATGTATGAAAGTATACCCATGCATGCAAGCCTACAGAGGCCAGAAGAGGGTATTGGATCCCCTGGGACCAAACCCAGGTCCTCTGGAAGAGCAGCCAGTGCTCTTAACCACTGAGCCATCTCTCCAGGCCTCCAGGCCCATTTTTAAAATATTTATTTTTATTTTATGTGTATGAGTGTTTTGCCTTCATGTATGTTAAGTGCACCTGTTTTGTGCAATACCCACAGAGGCCAGAAGAGAGTGCTGGATTCCCTGTAACTGGAGTTCTGGACAGTTGTTAGCTGCCATGTGGGTGCTGGGAACCTAACTCAGGTCCTCTGCAAGAGCAGCCAGCCAGTGCTCTTAACTGCTGACCATCTCTCCAGCCCCCTGAAAATTTCCTTCAGGGGACTTGTGGGCTTGCTGTGAGAGTCAAGAGTGAGGCTGACTGGGATGTAGGTCCAAAGCATGTTAGCTGCATCCATGATATTGTATGTGTTCATAGCACACCATCTACAATCTCAGCTGCTGTGGACCCAGCTGTCTCAGTGTCTATGGTCAAGGTTGGGAGTGAGAGAGCTGAGAAGAGGGACACCACCCAGAGGAGATGGGTAGCAGTGACCAGCTCCTTCATCATGATGGGATCAGGGCACAACTCTCTGTTGCCTGAACAAAGCCAAGTGCAGATGGGCTTACAGTCAGGGTCATACTTGGGGGTGGGCTACAGTGTATGACCACCAGAACAAGTCTCTCCTGAGGGCTACATGGGCAGGAAGCAGGGGAGTTGCAGGTGGATGCCAGGTGGGAATCCTGCAAGTAGAAAACTAAGGTGAGGACCAGGTCTGTGGCTCAAAGCTGGCCTGTCCTTTTCTTGGCTATCATATGTTACCAGGCAGGATGGGGCTGTGAAGGATGTTGGCTCATGCTGGACCTGAGAACTTGGATTGGGGCCCAGTGATCACTCCTTAGAGTGGGGAGTGGGGGTCTGAGGCTCTGGGAGACCCTCCAGCCTCTGCCCTCTCCCTGGTTCCCTTTCCCTTCCAGTGTGCTACATCTCGGCTCTGGTATTGTCTTGTTCACTCACCTTCCTGCTCCTGATCCGCTCACTGAGGACACACAGGTCAGTGGCAGCCCCGGTACTTGTAGTTCTGATGTGGGACAGGAATCCTAGTCCTGAGGGCTTAGTAGACCCTGAGTCAGGAGGGCCTGGACAACAGCCCTGGGCTAGAGGAGAGGCCTCTGTAGGCCAAGCTGTCACAGAGTCCCCTAGGTTGGCTGTGGGTGGTGGGTGGAGAAGGTGGGGCTGGCCTGCCAGGGGCATGTCTGTCTGGTTTTGGGAAGAGGTCCGTGAGTGTAACACAGGGCATGACTCATTGCTAGGGAGTTTGCCTGTGAGACAGGGCCCTAGGAGGGCTAGAGCAGATAGGAAGCTGGCATTCCATTGGGAGTTGAAGAAGAGGCTGGAGCTGAGAGATGAAGCATGCCACAGGCAGGAGGAAACACAGGAATAAGAGCAGAGAGGTAGATGAGCCAGACATGGGAGGAGGGCAAGCAGGTGGCCTGGAGGGTGGAGGGGCATTGGAGGGGTTGTTCGGAACATTAAGTAGTGCAGAGAACTGGTCCACTTACTATGGGCATTTGCTAGGTCTCAGAGAGTCTATCCAGGGTCTGAGTCCGCTTGCTCTGGCATTCAAGGCCCTCCTGCCTTGCCTTCCTCCCTGGTGGCAACCGAAACTACATGTCAATTCTGTTCTTTATGTTGTTTCCCACTTCTCTGACTTGGTTCAGGTTGAACCCTTTGCCTAGGTTTTTCTTCATTCACTTTAAAAAAAAATATTTTATTTACTATTTTTATTTTACGTGTATGAGTGTATTGCCTGCATGTATGTGAGTGCACCCATGTCGTGCAATGCCGCGGAGGTCAGAAGAGGGCTTCGGATTCCCCTGGAACTGGAGTTAAGGACGGCTCCAGCCCCTTCATTCACTTTTAAGACAGCGCAGACCTCACCTCTTCCAGGGAGATCCCCCAGATTGAGTTAGTGACCTCCCTTAGGATTATAAAGTCCTGGGCTTCCCTGTCGATAGCCCTGGGCTGCAATTAGGAGTCTGGCCAGACTAGCCTGGTGGTACAGTTCAAGGTGAGGCATTTGCTCCCTGAGGTCCCTGCCTTCCTTGTTCTTACCCCAGGGCCAATCTTCAAGCACTGCACCGAGGGGCTGCCCTGAACCTGGGTCCCCCACTTCAGAGTACTCATCCCTCCCGTCAGGCCATAGTCAGCTGGATGAGCTTCAGTGCATACCAGACGGCCTTCACCTGCCTTGGTGAGCCCCCTGGCCATGTCCCCAGAGCTGGGCCTCAGTGGGAGGGAAGGGTACTCCGTAAGAGTTTACCTAGGCTGGGCAGGCACTGTGGCAAGAGCTGTGGGAGGGACCCACCTGCCTCCCCTGCCCTCAGGAAGCCTGCTTGGGATAGGGGTGCAGGAACCCCCAGAAAGGGGAGCCCTTTACATGAACATCTGCTTGGGTGTTTGTGGGCAGGGTAGATCCAGATTTGGAGGTTGCAAGTTCAAGGTGGTATATGCCTGCTCCTGTAAGGGAGGGCTGGGCACACTGAACTGCCTCAAGGTGACCAGGTTCCCCTTATGGGGGATGCAAGCAGGGTTTCATGGACATTTGAGTGCTCTACGGAGGTGTTGTTGCTTGAGAGAGTCAAGCTAGGAGACCCTCAAGGACCCTCCCAACATGTGTCCTTGAGTTCTCCCCTTAGATACTGCAGTGCACAGCACATCTGAGCTATAAGGGGCTATGCCTCTCCTACAAGTTCAATGACTGGGCTTCACTCTTCAGATCTCCCATTCTCACCCCTGGGGGAGGAGGGAAGGTGATGAAGGGATGGAGGAAGTAGTAGGAAACAGTTGTGATACTTATCTTGGTCAACTTTAGACCTCTTAAACTCTTCTGAACACATCTCATGTGATGGCCTGACCTGGTGGTTTTCAAAGACACTTTCAGCACCTATCAGGTGCTAAACTCTGACTCACAGGCACGTAACCACCATGTAAAATGTGGTTTATGACCAAGAACTCAAGATCAAGTTGGGGCAATAATACTCATTCTGAGACCACTGGATCCTTACAACAGTCCTTCGAGGTAGGGACTATTATGACCATTTTACAAAAGAAGATACTGAGGCTCAGAGAGGTAATGTAACTAGCTCAAGGTGGCATAGCCAGGCAATGCCATGGTGTGGAAGTGGTATGGGAGCCTTTGGCTTCCTAAAGTGGAGGAGTGAGCCAACTTCCACAGAACCCAGTCAGCATCTGGCCTCTTGACCTTCCTGCCATTGCAGGACTTCTAGCACAGCAAGTCATCTTCTTCCTGGGGACAACAGCCCTGGCCTTCCTCGTGTTTGTGCCTGTGTTCCATGGCAGAAACCTCCTACTCCTCCGATTTCTGGAGTCCACATGGTGAGTGAGACAAAGAGTGAGGGCTCTGGGATGTTCTAAAGGACCCACCAACAGTAACCCACTCCATCTGTATGCAGGCCCTTTTGGCTGACTTTGGCCCTGGCTGTGATCCTGCAGAATATAGCAGCCCACTGGGTCTTCCTGGAGACTCACCATGGATACCCAGAGCTGACCAACCGGTAAGGTGACCTCTGGGCTTGTGGCTCCCTCAGGCCCCAGCCTCTTCTTTCAGGGTCTTTCTCTGTAGCTTTCTTCCTCTACTGCTTTCTCTCCCAATACTCTGTCTGGAAGTCCAGGAGATATAAAAGAGACAGTGGCTCAGTCTACTCTAAAATGCCTTCTTCCATGCCTATCACATGGCCAGAATTCTTCCCAGGAAAATTTGGTTTGGGGCGCTGGGAACCCACAGCCTTGCAAACCCAGGGCTGGGCATATGTTAGACACACTACCATTGAGCTGTTGCCCTAGCCCCTCCCAAGAGCCTTTTTTGCTTTGGGGATCAATGCTGCTCTTCCCCCCACCCCAAGCTCCTCATTTTGTACCAAGGCTGTGGGAGAATCCTGGCCCCAGGATGAACTTGGAGTGGTAGACAGGGGACCCAGAGGAGGGAAGTGGGGACACCAGGGTCAGAGAGATATAGGTAGAGGGCTGAGGAGATGGCTAAGTTGGTAAGGTACTTGCCACCCAACCATGAAGATATGAGTTTGATCAATCCCTAGAATCCACATAAAAACACATAGAACACACTTCTAATCTCTGAACTGGGGAAGTGGTGACTAGAGGATTCCTGGGTCTTGCTGCCCAGCTAGTCTTGCCAAATCAGTGAACTCCAGGTTAAGTCAGAGACTCTGTCTCAAAAAATAGAGAATGATAGAGGAAGATACTTGTTGCTGAACTCTGGCTTCCCTGGGCTATATAAAAGCACGCTCAACAAAAGGCAGGCACTCCATAAAGACAGTATCTGTGGATATGGAACTGTGACACTGGCCTGGCACAGGGCTCTGGAGAAGGCCCTCCTCAGCCTTTTTCCTTCCCACCCCCAGGCGTGTGCTCTGCACAGCCACCTTTCTTCTCTTCCCCATCAACATGCTGGTGGGCGCTGTGGTGGCTGTCTGGAGGGTGCTCCTCTACTCCCTCTACAACACTGCTCATCTGGGCCAGATGGACCTCAGCCTGTTGCCACAAAGAGCCACCACCCTAGACCCAGGTAAGGTCACTCGGCAGAGGCTGGGAACTGAGCTGTCAAGCTGCCCCACCCTGACCTCAAAGCTGATCTGTGCAGGTAGGCCCCTGTGCCTCTGTGCAGTGGGTATATTAATGTTCCAAGGCTCTGCGGTGTGAGGCATGTGTACACAGTATCTGTGCCCTGCATTGTGGAGGCTCTGAAGGTGTGTGCAATGTGTGTGCTAAGTGCTGCTGGGGCTCCATGGTGTAGGGCAGGTGTGTGCAGCTGGGTGGGTATGGTATATTCTAGCAAGTGTGCAAGTGCCTGCATGCACTGTGTGTGCCTCATGTCCAGTATATGCACATGCTCTGTGTCCGAGAACCTCTAGTCTGCCGTTGCCCCCTCCTGCCTCAGCATTTTGTCAACACCCACCCCAGGCTACCACACATACCGAAACTTCCTGAGGATTGAGTCCAGCCAGTCCCATCCAGCAGTTACAGCCTTCTGCATCCTGCTCCTTCAAGTGCCGAGCCCCAGGCCCCAACCCCCACTGGCCCCCCAGGACAGCCTCAGACCATCAGAAGAAGAAGAAGGTGCTCCTCCACCCTGGGTGGGGAATTTAGACTCCCAGCTTCTTCCAGGAAGGAGTCACAGGAGGCCCCTTAAAGCATAGCAAAGCCAAGAAAATTCCCTCTTCCTCTCTCCTTTGACTTTCTGTCATTGCTCCTCCTGATCTGGTCTCAGGATAATTTGTTTTCCATAATAAGAACTTGCAGGCACACACACACATACACACACACACACACACACACACACACACACACACACACTCAAGCGGACACAAAGAATGGAATGGCTGTCTTGCTAAGGGGCTCTGTCATATGCCTCCAAAGGCTACTCTTCCCTGGCTTCCTCCACCAGTAAAATATTTCTTCCCTTTGCCCAGGAGGGGAGGCTTACTAGACCAGCCCCAACCTTGTGCTGGCCTGGTGGCCTCTAGTTCTTCACAGACCTCATCCCCTCCCCCTCTGCCACCAGCAGGGTGACATGTTTTTACAGCCCTATCTTCTCCCATTCCTGAACTGGTAGTTGGAGCCCAGACTATTCATGGGCTTTTCAGACTTCTTACTCAGTTTGGGACCTCTAAAGGCTTGGCTGGGACTCACAGAAGGTCTCTCCCTCTCAGGGATGCAGTTACTACAGACCAAGGACCTGATGGCCAAGGGAGCAGGGCCCAAAAGCAGCCAGAGCAGGGCCCGCTGGGGTTTGGCCTACACTCTGCTGCACAACCCAGCCCTTCAGGCCTTCCGGAAGGCAGCCTTGACCCGTGCCCGGACCAATGGCGCTCAGTCCTGAGGGTGAGGACAGCCACACTACCCTACTCTTGTGTGCTAAGGCACATTCCTGCTTAGCGTTCCCCCACCCCCACCCC